CACACACACACACACACACACACACACACACACACACACAGTCTAACTCAGTGTCTGTTGATTTCTGCTGAATCACCTTTTAGCTAAGGAGGTGCATTATTGCAGTTCAGGACCAGGCCACCAGGAGGGAAACAGGCCCCCACACTGAAGACATGTACATTCACACTGAGTGGTAGATAATAATGTTTGACTATGATGGACTGTGACAGTGAAGGAAAGCTGCAGTTCAGATGTATTATTCATTGGAGAGAACCTGAATATATAGTTGATGATGTAAGGATTCAGATACAGAGACACATAACGGTCAGTGACTGTGTGTGTGTGTGTGTGTGTGTGTGTGTGTGTGTTGGTGTGTGTGTGTGTGTGTGTGTGTGTGTGTGCATGTGTGTGTGTGTGTGTGCGTGTGCGTGTGTGTGTGTGTGTGTGTGCGTGTGTGTGCATGCATGTGCGTGTGTGTGTCCCAAATCTGGGATCTGCCATCACATAAACATCAACAGATAAATTTTGTTTTACCGACACTACGCATTAGACTCGTTTCAAGAATAATTCAAGTAAAAAGAATAAATAGGACTCGCATCATAGGGACAATGCAGCACAAAGACATTTTAGACAAGAACATATTACCGTTGTACTTCACATGTCTCATTCTTGCTGCCGAAATCACCAGTGCTCCCGAAACTGGCTTTTCTCAAGATAAATATGCACTCACAAGATGTTGCCTTTCAAAGAAATTCAAAGAATGAGAACTTTTAGTAGTGAGCAGGCTGTTTCCTTATTTTAAGTAGACCTACATGGGTCAAATCTCAAGTAAAGAAAAACTGATTTTCAGTGATCATCTCCTCCAAAGAGCTACAAACCAATGAGAGGTACGAGCAACAAACACAATCACGGCTGCTGATGATCTGAGAGCTGAGCTGACGTCAGGGGTATGAGCAGACAATTACACTTCGATAGATTCTATTTAACTGTAATGTGACGTTTTGTATCACAGCAGATCGTTTCAGAATGTTGAACTCTTTTTCCCTCACGTTTGAAATTTACGGCCTCAAATCACTCTTTCATTCTTACACTCTTTTCTTACACTGCACTGCTATCTCCACTCTTATTTCCTTTCTTATTTATGTATTTTTAATTCTGTATTTAACTCTTTATATTGTCTTGTGTTGCTTTTTCAATTTCTCATGAGGTCTTTTATATTCTATGGAAAGCACATTACCTTGTTGCTGAAATGTGCCATACAAATAATCTTGCTTTGCTTCTCATTTAAAAAAATAAAAAGTAACACAAGAAAGGACTGAAAACCAAATTCTCTGCAGCAAGAATGAAGAAGCAAATCTTGGGGTTAGATCATGTTTTTCTGTCATAGTTAGAAAAGTTATATGGATTCATGACTTCCCTCTCTCTCTTCATTCTATAGAGCTGAAAAAGTTAAACCCTCTCTCTCTCCATGGTGCTGAAACATTAAAGCTTGACCTCTCATTGAACGTCTCTCCACAGTGCCACACACACACACACACACACACACACACACACACCAACAGAACATGCAGCTCACTGACCACACCTACAGACAACAGGCCCTCTGCACTGAAAACTGGAGTGTATTTAAAATGGTTGAAGTCATGGTTTATTGGGACTCTTTGACTAAATGGAGTTTGTTTTCATCCAAATGTACTAAAAAGTTTAACTGAAATTCCCCCAAATCATCAAAAAGACAAATAAATCTACCCGCTGCTGTTTTCTAGTGGCTGAGATGTCATTAAACTCTGCAGGAGAACAAGACGTAATGAGATGATGGAATTAACAGAGATTTGTTGGGCTTCAAATGGTGCCGCTGACTGTTCATCTGAACTTGCTGCATTAATGGATCAACAGTTGTCACGCAAAAATAGCGAGTCAACATGTTGTTGAATGTGTGGGCAACACGTGTTGCATTCACTCTGCAGCAAATCCTGTGGTTTCACAAAAACAGAGCCAACGTCTGCAGAGAGCTGCAGTGGTGACAGACATTTTCTTTTGTTTGAGGATTTCCAGGGTTCGATAACAAGATAATACAAGCCAAACAAATATTTCTGTATGCTGACTGTTTCTGTCTCATTTCACTCACTTTAGAAGTCGTGTGTAGTTTATCTCTCAAACAAACTTTAACTTCACTCTCGGCTGTTTGAATACCTGTTTCATATTGTTTGAGGTTCTATGATACTCAGGCTGGACAAACTTTTTACATCATTCAATGTCAATACTTATCAGAAATAAATGTCACAACATTGTTTCTTTTAAGTCTGAAACTTGATTTTCTGAGTAAGGGTTGTGGTTTTAAACTCTTCTTCATGAGCAGAGAAAGACAAACCCTTGATAAACATTTTACAGACTCGATCCCTCCTCACTGTGTTTGCACAATGCAGAAGAAATGCATCAATGTATATTAAACTTTTCTTGTATTGCTAGATGGAAACTAGATTTCCAAAATCATTGACATTGTTTTATTGCCCATACTATCTAGTCTGCAATAATGTTAAAGAATCTGGAATATATTTATCTTGACTATCTGTTGAGTCATATGGTTATGTGCCAGATTTTGGATTTGTATTAAGGTGTGGTCCACAGAGACAGAGGAAATTGGCATAACTAAACAGGCCTTTATTACCCCCCACCTTTAATCACAGTCTCATTTCATTGTATTTTACATCACTGATATTGATCCTGCATTTAACCATCAGCAAACGGAGCCTACAGGAGGTTTAACAGAGGAGATACAGTATAAAACTTTCATGCACACGCACAGTGGACAGCAGCTCTGTCATTTTCACATGTTGCAGCGGCAGCAGTCTGCAGCCAGTGCGCACAACTTCATCAACTTTCAGCCTCCTCACCTTCTCATCTTCAAGGTTCTGCAACACTTCTTTACCGCAGCTGCTTCTTATCTCGATCTTAGCGGACTCTTTCCCTCCTCGTCTCTCCGCACCGGTCCAGCTCCTGTCGTCCCTCGCCGGGCTCCTCATCTCCTCTTTGCCGGTCTCTGGTTTCACGGTCCTCGGGGTGCGGGAGCTCCTCTGTCCGACGCTCAGCGCGTCAAAGTCGATGGTTTTACTCTCGAACGCGCCCTCGACGCTGCAAAACAAGCCGCC